CAAATATTAGTGACTGTGGCCTGAGAACAGTGTTCTACTGTGGTAGTCATCTCATGAAGTTTAAGTCAAGAACCTTCTCAAGCACATTAGTGGGAACATCAGGTTGGCGGTTTTAGTGGTGAAACATGTCCCGCAGGTCGCAGACACTCTCTGACATCATTAGCATCCAGGTTAGTAGAAGCTAGTGGTCTGTCAATTTATTGCCACAAAGGAACGGAAATCAGAATTCACAGATGTAAATTGTGCTACTTACATGGCTTTCAGAAATCAGTCTTGGCTTCTACTTTCTAAAATGAGGAGTGTAGCACCTCTCTCTTCCACCTCACAGGAGTGATAGTAAGATTATAAGTGAGGCTGGAGAGACAGCTTAGTGGTTCAGAGTGTACTGATCTTCCAGAAGACCTGATATCAGGCTCACAACCATCTGTAACTCCAGGCCAAGTGGATCCAATGCCCCTGGCCTCAGAGGGCACCCATGCTCATGTGTGCACACACAGACACACACACACACGGACACGGACACGGACACACAAACACACACACACACAGACACACACACACAATTAAACCTTTTAAAAAGATGCAATGTGCAAGTGTGACTCCTAAGCAGAGCTACAAACTACATATGATTGCAACAGGTCTCACTGTGTGTTTGGGGATTTGTTTTTGTAGCACTCGAAATCCCCGTGTTATATGACCACATTGAGAGGAAACTCCTTTACCATCGCCCTTCTTCAGTGAGTCTGCCCCAGATGCAAGCGGTTAGCATAGCAACAGGGATCAGCGCCGCCCTGCAGGCATCATCTAGAGGTGTGACTACAGCCTGTAATTTCCCCCAAAGAAGAGAGAAACAGCCAGTAAGCATGAGAAGATGCCCTGTCTCTAGCCGTTTGGGAAAGAGACATCAAACAGAGAGGCTACTTATCATCTAGTAGGAGGCCTAAAGTCGAAAGTGCCAGTCACGGTATGGAGAAGCTGGTCCCTCCTTCCCTAACAGTAGGCATTCAAAATGGTGTGGCCCTTTTGGTGACCATTTTGACAGTTTTTCAAAAAGTTAAGCAGAGAGTTATCACTAGCTAGCAGTTTAACTCCCAGGAAAATGTACAAAATGTGTGTAAATGCACAACTTAATACATCAGTGTTCACAGCACTCACTCTTCACAGTAGGCAGACACAGAGATAACCCAAGTGTCCATCAGGATAGGAAGGGAGAGTCAAACGTGGTATGTCCACAGAGCAGAGTGCCATAAAGTCAAATGAAACATACATCTTTGACTTGGATAAACCTCAGAAGTGTCACTCTAAGTGAAGAAAACGTGACACACATGGCCCCATATCAAGTATTCCTTTCACATGTAAGGCCCCAAATGGGCAATCTCTAGAGACAGACAGTAGATGAGTTGCCAGGTGGCGGGGCACTGGAGTGTGAGAGACAGGGTGTGCCCTTTTCTGGGATAGGGCACGTGTTCTGGAATTGGTTGTGGTAGTTGCATAGTCTTCCTTTATACTAAACACCACTGGCCTGTACCTTGTAAATGAGTAAGCTATGAGACTTGGATCTGAGTCTTAAGAAAGAAACCCAATGCAAGCCGGGCGGTGGTGGTGCATGCATTTAATCCCAGCACTCGGGAGGCAGAGGCAGGCAGATCTCTGTGAGTTTGAGGCCAGGCTGGACTGACAGCCTCCAAAACAATACAGAGAAACCCTGTCTCATAAAAAAAAAAAAAAGAAATAAACCCAATGCCTGAACTTCCTTCCGCAGCTGTGACAGCTCTAAGCCATCCCTCGAGGCTGTTCTTAGTCTGACTTGGACTGGGAGCCTATCCTGACCCTGGATTCCAGGTGGCCTCTTGCAAAGGATCAGAGTTCACAGTGATGAAACCATTTGGCAATCCTGAACTAAACACTGTCCCGTGGCCCTCAAACAAACCACTGCGGACAAGGAAAACATTACAAACCCAAGGTGGATGCTCACTCAGACCACAAGAGCAACCATCCAAGGAAAAAGTTGGATGTCCAGCCCCATGCTTTATTGTGACAATGCCAGGCCACAATGAAGGACTTGGAGCACCCCTCAGCATCCCTTCCTCTTGTTCTGAAATTGACTCAGACTGGCTACATTCTTCTTTTGTTTTTCAACAAAAACCAAGTATCCTTAAGGAGTAGAGCATGACATTTTGATGTACATGATACGGTGAGAGGATTCTGGTAGTCAGGTCATTTATCCTATGCTCCTGACCAGAGGCACCTCCAAGGTCTCCCGACATTCTACACCCAGGTATAAGGTTCCTCATGCCAGCGTCCATACCTCAGCTGTCTCTATTTCTGAGACTAGGCACCACCGCTGCCACTCAAAGCTGGCCGATCCTGGCCCGTCATCACTACTCCCGGCACACTGCTGCTTCATGATGTCTAGTGGGGATTCAATCAAAAGTCTGGCTAGGCCAGGCTCAACCCAGAACCTTTCAGGGTCACCTAAGTGTTCTCTGGCCTCTTCCGTTCCCACAGAAGACTCAGCATTCTCTGCAGGAGTCTTTTCTGGATGACTCTCTCTTGCACAATTGACAATGGATAGATGCTTTCATTAATTATACCACAGGCTGAGTGGCACCAGTTACCACATACTGGTATTCTGAAGTGACCCTGTTTCCCCAGTGTGAGAGTTCTGAAGAAAACAGTCCTGAATAAGCTGTAACGACCACTTTCAGGATGAACTCCAGTCACTCATTCCCATATGTATACGTTTACTCTGAAAATTAGACAATGAGACCCCATGCCAGCAAATCACAGCTAACTTGACTGACAAAAAAACGAAATACCCTATTGGGACTGTGCCTTTTGGTAATCCACAGATTGACTTGGAGGGTGACGCCCAGTATACAGTACTCACTGGTATGCTCATTATTTTAACAACTGTGATGAGATACTCTACAGCCACTGTCCCCCGAGTGTCTGCTGACACTGCTGTTCTCTCTAGATGCCTTACTTTCATGTCTCATGACAATCCTCAAGGGAACTATCATTTTTCTGTAAAGATGGGAAATTGGGGTTTCTGAGAAGACAAAAATGGCCCTGAGGCCACCAGTTAAATCAGCAGAGTGGAGACTCACAGACAGACACTCCTCTCGTGCTCCCCTTCGCTATGGACCCCATTAGCTCAAATGTCAGTTCACTTTGATTAAACCAGTACACGCTGAGTGACGTTTGGGATGCCGCTTCAAAACCAGTGACAGATGGATTTTCTAACAGAAACAGCAAGATTTACTTTTTAGAAATAATGGCAATCCATTAGCAGATCTAGTGTGGATATTTACTAAGCAAATCTGAGTGGATTGCAGGGACTAGCGTCTCCTTACACTCTGCCCACTCTGATAGGCATTCCAGCTCCTGACCTCAGGGGCCTCATGACAAAGCATAGGAGACTTGAGAGTCCTTCAAGATGTCACACCCCACCCTTCCTCTTAAGGAGGAAGCCTGCTCCAGGGTAGAAGGCCCCTTGTCTCACACACACAGCTGGTATGGACAGCCAACTGACCAGATCTCTTGATTTCAAGTCACCACAGCATAGTCCGAGTTAAGCCTGCTGGCCACATTTTCTTTTCCATAATTCATTCTGCCTTGCAACTGAAATAAAAGTGTATGGTATCTAAAATTAAGTTTTTCAGGGCACCATTTCTAGCCATAAGGGAAACAGAATCCATTGTTAAATAAGTTCAAAAAGCAAATGACACTCAACAAATGACCATCTCCGTATGTGTTAGGGAGAGGAAGACACTCAGGTGTGCCTGTAGTTAGAAAGCCTCTGGCTGAGCAGACAGCTGGCCACTTCCTTCTGCATTACGTAAACCTTCTCCTTGGGCTCCCTATTGCCCTGCCACTTCCTGTTGCGCAAGGGCAAACAATGGACAGACTGTCGCCAATGTTTCCATTAATTACACCACAGGCCGGGTGGCATTGATTACCGCATACTGGACATTTTGAAATGACCCCATTTCCTTTGTTCAAGTACTCTATCCAAGTGTCTCAGTAAAGGAACACATTTTACTCATGGCTTTGAGAGAATGAAGAGATAGCAGCAGCTGGGGAATCCAAACGGCATCATCACTCTGTTCCGATCATTATTTTACGGCTTGCCCAGCTTCTCCTTATGCTGGCTTCCCTTCTTCATCATGTCCAGCTAAGAAAGAAATCTCAAAACCGGAACCAGTCAGTTCCCCAAACAAAACATGTTAAAAGTCGGACGGATCATGCCCCCTAGCCTGGGCTTTAAAAGGTGCAGACGGCAGCAAGCAAGAAAAAAAAGTGTGGGAACAGGATAGATCAGACAGATGACAGGCAGGAGTCTTAGAGTCTCACACCATACTACAATTCTCAGCTTGAGAGCTTGAGGCCCTAAGTCTGGGACCCTGAGGGTGGAGGGCAGGGGAACTGGAGAAGACAGACAGATGAAGACCCCCCAAATATGCAGAGCTGTCATTTTAGGTCTCCTTGTTCTGCTGTCTAAGATGAAAGGAAAGTACAAGTCTGTATGAGTTATGTAACACTGGTACTTGTACGCCCTTGCTGACGTCTATAGAGTGGCAAACTGGATTAGCTAAGTGCTCTGTAATCCCTTACTAAGGCACTCAGAGTGTGAGCACTGCCCTGTGACCGGGAGATTGGACCTCAGATGTGCTAGAGTTAAGAACCTCACTAAACTCCCTACCATCGGCCTGAAGGATGAACCCGAGTGGTCCCATGGTGACTACCAACTAAGGATTTAGTATGCCACCCTTGCCAGCAGCCAGGAGCTTCTATACAGTAAGCCAGATGGCTGCTCATGGCCCAGGAGACTGATGAGTCCAGAGGCCTATATCATTCCCTACCCAGTGTAGGTAACTATGCAATGCCACTGTAGAATTGACCCAGGAAACATTTTCCCAACAATAAGGAAGAGAGCAGGGCTTCCTTCTGATAAGGGGCACTAGGACGGCTCTGTCTGGTTAGGCTGTGGCCTGATGGAGGACAGGTGTGGCAGAGGGTGGGGCATGGATTGTTCTAGCAGACTGGATGTAACAGAAGGCACAGAGCAGGAGTGGAGGCTGCCCAGAAGCCTGGATTTGGTGGATTTTTGAGACCTCAATTATGACCACTACACATCATTGCAAGGCAAGTGAGTATCTAACTACAGAGAATCCAAGTCTTAGCAAAAAGAAAATGGAAAGCAGTGTACAGGCTGTGGTACTCTGGGATAAGGGAGAAGACACCATGGAAGCATGTTCTAACTTCTATGGAATACCATTCCACACTCCTGTGTGTCTCACTGCACTTTAGATAAGTAAGCTTTATTCTAGGAATGGTGTTTTTGTTTTCATAGCTCCTTTAGGGTCCTTTGCTCTGATTTATAGTCTGGCTGTCACCATACTCTTCTACAAGGGCAATACCCAGCAGTGATTTAGTCTGCCCTTAGACAAGCAAGAAGCTCTCCTGACCAGTATGAAAGTGGGAACTGTAGAGTCCCACCGAATTGTCAACCAAGTCTTAGGATATTAGCATGCAGTCTGTCAGCATTAGCGGAAGCAAATCGACTGTTGCCCCAAGCTTTGGGGCCAGCCCCTGAAGAAATCCTTTAGGAATCTTCGAGGTCTGGAAGAAGTAGGGGATGCTTTTATAAGGAAGGAGTGGCATAGGTGTGCAAGTGTCCTTCCAGCAACAGAGGAGACTTCAGAACATGCAGGTAAGTGCAACAGGGGAAAGACTGAGCCAGGTGATGGTGGCACACACCTTTAATCCCAGAACTCAGGAGGCAGAGGCAGGAGAATCTCTGTGAGCTCGAGGCCAGCCTGGTCTACAGAGCAAGTTCCACAACAGGCTCCAACGCTACAGAAGAAGAAAAGAAGTAAAAGAAAAGACTGGCAAGGAGTAGACTCTTGGACATAGCCATTGGTAAAGATAGTTTCAGGTCTTCTGATGCTCTCTGTATTACCTAGGAGGCCTAGAGAGGTTTTCTTCCAGGAAGGCCTGCCCAGGCCACTCAGTCTATAACTTGTAGTCCACTGATAGTGCATAGCTTCCCTTTACCTCATTTTGTAACTGTTAGCCTTCATCTTTTTACATGCTATCTACCACACTGTTTCCTTTTCCTATCTTTCTTATTGTCTTTTTCTCCACTGGAGTATAAGATCTAGGAAGCATTTTTCCTGTTTATTTAGTTGTCATTCCCTGACACCTACAACAGTACCCTGGCACAGAGCTTGCTAATTCACTCGCCCAGGGGATGGAGAAAGGTACACGTGTACAGAGGTCCAAGCACATTGTGTCTTAGAAGCCTAGTTTGCTTCTCAGTTGCTGTGATAAAACACTGACAAAACCAACTTGGGGAAGAAAGGGTTCATTTAACTTACTTTCCATGTCACAGCCCATCACTGAGTGATGTTAAGGCAGAAATTCAAGCAGGGCAGGGACCTGGAGGCAACTGAATCAGAAACCATAAAAGAATGCTAATTAGGCCCTTGCTCTCCATGGTTTGCTCAGACTTTCTCATACATCTCAGGACCACTGCCAGGGGTGGTACCACTCAGAGTGGGTCAGGCCCTCCCATATGATTCATTAATCAATGAAATGCCCCCCAAAGGGTTGCCCAGAGGACAATCTGGGGGAGGGAAATCTTCTTCCCAAGTGACTCTTGTTTGTGTCAGTTTGACAAAAACTAAACAGCACATCAGTAAGAAAAAAAACCTGTTACATAGGGAATCAGAACTCTTAGATGGCTGGTGTACTTGGGGAAAAAAGTGTTCCAAGATAGGAGAGGTAAGTAACACATGTTTAAGATGAAGGCTTTGCAAAATATAGAAAAATGAAGGCAGGTGAGGAATCATTGAGAATCCCACCACTAACATGCAATGTAATCAATTAGCTGTCATGTGTCCTTTCTGATGCTTAAGAGTATTGAGTATTAACACAGTTGAAGTCATGTTGAATGCACAGTTCCATGTCTTGGTCTTGTTCAGTGATCTTTGAGAACACAGTTCCCAAACAACTCTGTCTCACTCACAGTAGAACTTAAACCTTGTGGAGTTTACTATGTGACCTGACACTCTGAGTCTCAAGCTTTGCAACACGTATACTACACTGTAGGAGTAGAAGCCCGAAGATGCCACAGATGCTTCAGCTACGGATCAAAGTTGAGTCTAACCATGAGCACACATCCATTCCCAGGCTCCTGGGGATCTGGCCACGTAATTGAGTTCAAGCCAGAGTAATGTGAAACCAGTAGGTTCCGCCCATAAGATACTCCCAGTCTTTGCCATTCCATGATGTTCAGCCAGGTAGATACTGTGACGATCACAAAGTCACAGATATAAGGAACCTGGAACAAGAACTCAACAGAGAGCCATCTGCTAACAAGAAAGATTTGCTTTGAATATTAGCCAAGCTGTATTTCTGTAAGATTACACAGGCCAAGTGTATTTACACTGCAGCCTAGCCTACCAGCTCTGTGGTTTCCTGACAGAATGAAAAAGCTTATCAATGTGTGGGATGAAGTAAGGAAGACTCTAGGAAGCTATTCATCTACAAGCACTCATTGTTTACCACAAGCCAGGCATTATAGTAGGCACTGCAGCAGTGAGTCAGCTTTCCATTACTACCTAAAGCAAACCCTGATAGAACCAGCTTCGATGTCTACACTAGTCCTTACATACTTGAAAGATAGACAGGGAGCATGGAATTTTCTGGAAATGCTTTGCTTCCTGCAGCAAGACTGGCATATAGGAGCTTACGGGAGAGGACAACTACTCGCACTGCATCCATAAAGTCAGAGGTTAACACTGCACAGATTGGGGTTTCTTTTAAGGGTTTGGCACCCATGAACAACCTGGGGATCTCCCTTCTGGGTGGCTCTACCCCCTCCCAATAGTGTGACCCTGGGGGAACAAACCTTTAGTACATGGGCCTTTGGGTGACATACACGATCTAAACTATCGTAGCACCAATGTCCAAATTTGCTAATATTCCTTATTATTCTAAATAAAGACATGTTGGACAGGGAAGACCTTTTCTAAGTCCTTAATACTACCCACCCACTAGTTTATAGGCTACAGGCATTTTCTGGAGTTCCTTACAGGAGGAGGCTACCCCCAAAACCTCTAATGCTGTACAGTCTGTGGAGGAAGGAGACAGGGACTCCAGAGCCTGGCACATGTGGATAGCAGCAGGAGAGCTGACAGAGGCAGCTGTCCAGGGCTACAGGCACAGTGGTGCTAAGTAGCGATGCTCACACATGCTTAAAAGTCAGTGTCCAGAGTGTAAAGGGAGTTAAACCTCAGAGCAGGAGCAGTCGAATAACCGGGCTGTGCTTATGCCTGGCCAAAAACCACAAGCCTACATTTCCAACAGGCAAGTAATAAATTCGCCTCGGCCCTCTTCCAGCATTTCTGTGTCTTGGCAGGGCTGGGATGGTAGAAAGGAGCATGGGGCTGAACTTGAGGAAGCACTGCACAGCATGCCTTACCGCCAGAACCCGAGCGAACCCAATCTCTCGTCTATATTTCCTGCTGCCCAAGGGACCAGCTCTATTTCTTATTGCAAAGAAAGGTTGCCCAGAGGATAAGTGGGGGGGGGATAATTATACTGCATAGTCTCAACCTGAAATTTATATCACAGTAATGTGTGAGGCAGAAAAAAAAAGTAGACTTTTCTAGAAATGCTTTGTCTCAGTATTTCAACAAAAAGGAAGCACTCTCAACCCATTTTATAATTTCAGGTCAAGAAAGCAGTGATGGATGCCAGAACATGTTCAAAGCAGGGACAGGAACCGGCTGATGTTACGTGAAGGAGGTTCAGGGTACAGCGGCAGACAGAGAGTTGCTAAAAATTCCTTCCCTGGGAGAGACAGAAACAAAACAAACAGCATCCTCCTAAAGTTCTAAGGACAAATCTAGATATGATTCCACCAAAGTTCGCCCTGGGGAATCAATGAGCTCCTTAGGCTTCCTTACAGAGCATGGGCGGGGTGTTATAGTCAGGACCACACTCGAAGGTCTGCACCCAGCATGGACAATGGCTTCCCCACGGCGGCATAGATGGAACCGCTCTCCTCGTCATTCCCCACCTATAACCTTCAGCTCCACCCTCAGAACCACGCGCAATGAATGCAGAATTGCATATACTTGGTTGACAGTAGTGGCAGGATACTCAGACAAGGATCCCATGGCCCTCTCCACTCCCTGCTTTTATGCGGGAAGGGAAATACAGTCAGCAGCAAAGCTGTGATGGTCTTTTGTGAGCAGGCACAGCTGAATGCCCAAAGATGTGGCAGCTTTGGCTGGAAGGAATAGTCCTGCTTCAACCCCCTCCCCCAAAACCTACACTAGTTAGCAAGCAATCTCCTTCTCTTTTGCCTCTTAGTAAACCTGAATTTCAAAGATGGGTGTAGCCTAAAATGTAAAGTGTTTGTCACCTTCAGTCTTTAACAGAAACGACAAGATACCAAGAAAACCTCTGAAAGTGATCAGAAGTGCTGTGTCCACTGCTTAGAAGTCAGGGACTACTATTTTACCACCATTTATTTCCACGTCTCCAGAAGACCCAAGCTTCCTAGGAATTGAACCAGTTTGCCATTACAAGCATTACTAGAAGCAGACCAAACAGGTAAATTAACTACAAAAATTCCAAAAATCCCATACTTCTGGCATGCAAGAAATCAGTCAGGGCTTGTGGAAACCACAGTTCAGAGAGAATAATCAGCCTTGCCTCTACCCAGGTCTTTATCACAGGGGCTGTTGAGGGCAGGGTTCTAAATGGGCCACTACTTAGCCTGCGACTAGAATCAAGAAACTTCACCTGAGCCAGTTCATGGCAAAGTCAGGCCTTTCTCTTTCTGTCACCACATGCACTGAAGACAATGACGGACACTACAGTACAGTAGGCCCAGTTCTAGGCATGGTACCTGTGGTAACTCAGTCAACCCTCCTCAAACCTGTTTGAGGCCGATACAGCTCTTCTATCTCTGAACAGAACAGGAGACCAGTCTAAACCAGTTTGAGGCTATACAACTGGTCAGAGACAATGTGAGGATCAGAACCTTGCTGTGTAGCTCTAGTGTTCATGGGAACATTATGTGAAATGGCTACAAACACAAATACCAGAGTTCCAATATCCCCCCACCCCATGTCTGTCTGCCTCTTTCTCTGTCTCTCTCTCTGTGTCTCTCTCTGTCTCTGTCTCTGCCTCTCTCTCTCTCTGTCTCTGCCTTTCTCTCCTCTCTCTTCCCCCCCCTCTCTCTCTCACACACACACACACACACACACACACACACACAGAATTAAAAACATAAAAACTCCCTTAGATTTTTACTCACGTGTAGGTCACTATCTTATCTTATGACTATGGGTAAGCTGCACTAACTGACTTCATCTAAATAATAAGACTAGACCAGGGATCTCTGGAGCCTCCCAATGTCTATCAACATGCTGTAGTTCATCAAAACTTAAATCTGCTTCTTCACTGTCCCTGAAGTCACAAAGCTAATTTTCCTCTAAGACTGCCAAGCTGTCTCTACCTGTCTCCACTCCTATCCCAAGACCTGTTTTCTCTAATTACCCCAGGATATCTTGATTTCTTTCATAGATATTCCATTATACAAATTGCAACTGAATGTTCCTGGTCGACAGCACTCTACTGATACTGCTTCATTGATAGTGATGTAGCTTTTGTATTTTTGTCCTGCATATTTTCATTTCCTCAGCCAGACGAACCTTTCAAAGAATAGGGAGTAGGTCACATTTCCCTATAATTCCCTTTAAGTGGGTATGCCATAGTTGCTCAGCAATAGTGGTTGAGTGATGGATAGGGTCACCTTATAGCCAATGACTAAACCAGTGGTCAAGATATACTGTAAGGTTGTTGTTGCATAATGTTTGTTTAACTATGCAAATATGTGTTACACTTTTTTAACTATGTAAAGATTGCTGCATTTGTTTATGTTGTACAATATTTGCTTAACTATATAAAGATGTGTTCCTTTTTAAAAATTATGTAAGGATGTTACTGTTTTTTACCTTACCTGCCTAAGGCACCTGATTGGTCTAAGAAAAGCTGAACAGCCAGTAGCAAGAGAGGAGGTATAGGCAGGACTTCCTGGCAGGGAGAATAAATAGGAGGAGGAATTTTGACCCAAGGGAGAAAGAAAAAGAGATGATAGGAAGATGCAAGGCACCAACCAGCCAGACACAGAGGAAGTAGGAAAGTAGGACGTACAGAATGAAAGAAAGGGAAAAGCCCTGAGGCAGAACACAGATGAATGGAAGCTGGTTAGATTAGGTTAAAAGAGCTCGGGGACAAGCCCAAGCTAAGGCCGATCATTCATAATTAGCAATTAGTCTCCCTGTCTTTATTCAGGAGCTGTTTAGTGACCCAAAGAAAATGCCAACTATAAATGGCGCCACACATGGGGTGTCAAATGTTGTTTTAATTTTGGTACGGTAGCTGTGCCTTAATCTACTGCCATCTCAGCCAGCAATTGCAGTCACCAGCCTGCTTCTCTAACAGTGGCCTGGCTGCTCAGGCCACAGCCTGACGAGAATTCTGCTCCCCTAGGGCACTGGCCCTGTTGCTGCCACTAAACACAGCTTTAACTAAATCTCTATCATTTTAATTATGAAGACTTGAGACTCAGAGGCTGGGGTGAAAACCTGTGAGCTCAGAGAGGCTGAGTAGCAACTAGGTAGCCATCTCTCCTTGCTGGCATCCATAGAAGATAATGCTTCTGCTTCACCAAACCAAAAAAAAAAAAAAAAGGCTGTGCCACTCCAAACCCCACTACTTCCTGCGTCTCTCTCTCCTAGCCCTCTGAGGCTCTATAATTACTTTCTGCCAACTAATTGCTAATGAAGCCTCATGACCCAATGTTAATTTTATTTAATTAACACAAATGCAAACTTGGGGTTCACAATGTGACTGAATATCCTGCAACAGGCTGCAAAGGCAGCAACCTCCATTCTTGTGCTCCCCTCTTAGATGTTTGTACTTATGAACATAAATTTATCATTCAAGAACGCCACCCAGTTTTCATATCAAAGGCTTATCTAAATTTAGTATTGTTTCATGTGAATCAAAAATGGTTCCAGCTAGGTTTTCTTTTGAGGTGAACAAAGTGATTGCTTTACTTAACACACTGCTGCGCATTCTTGGTTACTAAGTCTCCACTTTTCAACACATACAGCATTATGTCACTTCTTTACACTTCAACCAAATCTTCAGGAAGCATCTGGGGTGAGAGCAAAGAGTCTGTACTTGCTCAAAAGTACACGTTCTGCCTTATTTGTCTGGAAGTGGCTAATTCCAATCCTTGGGTATGCCATGAACAGGGATGATGCATGTTTCAAGGGTTTGCTAACACTCACTTGCTGAAACACAGAGACACATGACATCACCAGTGAAACCCTGAAACTGTCACTCCCTCTGCCCTAAGAGCTCAGCACTGTGAGAACTGTTCCTTGTTTTGTAATAATCCTGAGTGACTAGTGACTGACTATCCCATCTCTGAAACGCTTGGAGCCAGAAGTGTTTAAGGAGGTGTTATTGTTGTTTGATTTGGGAATAGCTATATAAAACACAATGAGATATCCTGAGGATGGGGCCTAATTCTAAAAATGAAATTTATTTATACTTCACATGTATCTTACACACATATCTTGAAGATAATTAATTATATATGGTTTTCTTAGCATGCCTGTGTGGTGTTTGCATGTTTATAGTGCTGGAGATAGAACTCAGAGCCTTGAGCATACTAGAAAAGCACTCATCCATTGAGTTCCATCCCCAGCCCTCTGCCTGTGTACTCAATGTGATCATCACATTAATTCAGGTACAGATTTTTTTCACTTGTGGAAATCTTTCAGATTATGGAGCATTTCAGATTACGGATTTTGCACTGGAGATGCTCAATGTATCCTGACCACTCAAACTGAATCTCAAAGTTCTGCAAACAGAATTTTCAACTCAGTTTAATGTGTTTATGTGAGTTATCTTTTCTCCAGTAAGATAAGACCACATGGTTCTCAGCCCTGGCTCCATATGAAAATCATACAGAGTGGTGATTTGGCACTCCGCTTCCCCTTCCCTCTGACCAATGTCCTTAAAAGCCTTTGGTTTAACTCACTTAGAAAGAGATTGGGCATCAGCACTTTCCACTCAGAAGACAGCTGGCTACCTCTGGAACACTCATGTCACTACTGTACCATTGTATCACTGCTGGCTGGTTGGTACTTTGTAGCTCACAGGACCCACAGCTAGGTAACACTTGATGATTGAACCTTCACTCCTGTCCGGACCTGTGTAATATTTTGGAAATATGTTCCACCCGGCCATGAGTTCTGAGAGTTCAGAACTTCTATTGTCTTTTAGGTGTCAGCTGATTACCACCAGATGGCCTGGCCTCAGGTGGGGAATGGCTCCTATTCTGAATAACAAAAGACTTGGGCCAGGGCGAGTCTACACCCACCTTGAGGGCTAGTGAGACATGCTGGTGTGGGGTACCCGAGGGCTTGAATATGTGTTACTAGGAGCGTCTCTAGGATTAAAGGAAATATTTGCTACCAGCCTTTTATACATGATAATGGATGTCTTCTGCCATTACTTCTTCCTTGGATGGTTACTTAAGATGGTGCTACAATAAACTGTGACTTCAGTATTGACAGACAGCCCTCCTGATATGACCAGATGTCTCTTTCTAACACCATTGGAGAGTTAGCCTATCCCGAGTCCACATTCATCCACTCAGGGACGGACCCAGGACTGTTTGGCTGGTTCTGATCACAGCCCCAAAGACATTAGTCCGTGATGAATAGCTCCTGCAACATGGTGCTAATACAGACCAGACACGACATAATGGCACCCAACGTGGGGCACATTCCCATCCCACAACAGCCTGTATTAGCACTTTCTGGCACTTTGAAAGCCAGCTAAAAAGGAAGAAACTTCTAGATCAGCCCCAGCAAACAGTGACTGTGGAGTTCTTGGCTCTAAATGGACATAGGTATCATACCTGCTCCCCCAAGGCTATGGACCAATACAAAAGAGGTGACAGAAGAGTCTAAGAGCCAGAGGTTGGGTAGAATTGCTGTAAAACAAGGCCCTTGTCATGGGAGATGTCCTTCTGTAAATATGTTTCTCTTATTGGTTGATGAATAGAGCACTGTTGGTCAACAGAGAAGCAAGATAGGTGGGTTTGGGGTTTAAGGAGGATTCTGGGTAGTGTAGGCACAGAGAGACTCGATGTAGACTGCAATGGCGTAAGAGACCCGGACCTTTTCTCTGGTAAGATAAGACCACATAGAAATACTTAGATTTATAGAAATGGCTCAGTAATTAAGACAGAGATAGCCAATAAGAAGCCCTAGTCAATGGTCAACAGATTTATAATTAATATAGTGTCTCATGTGTTATTTGGGGGCTGAAGCGGTGGCAGGACCCAGGCGACTGGTGGAAAAGAGTACATGTAACACCCTTGCTTTCATGAATTCACATCAACTATGGTTACCTAAACAAGAACAAGACACTCAACATTCCAGCATGGATGGAAGAGGGTCCCATAAAGCCCATCTCTAGCTGAGGAGATATTGGCAGTTGATGGCTTTGGAAGAGAACAAATCACTTTCCTTCAGGAGTGTAACCTCTGGTAGGGGTTGCTGATGCTCCAGCAGATATGCCACACCCATACACCCATGCACACATGGACAGCACTAACCGCAACTCAGTGGGCCATAAAAAGAAAAAGAAGACATGAAATTAGAAGGGATGTGTGTGCTGAGGGCATTGGGAGAAGTCAGGGGGAAATGGGATGGGTATGATCCAAAATACATTGTATACATCTCTGAAATTAAAGAATAAATAAAAAATACTATTGAAAATGCATTAAGATAAGAAAATAGAAGGAAACTACTTGGAGAGGGTCAACAGAGGAATGAAGAAGGACAAACAGGAGCAACTGAGAAGTGAATATGATCAAATTGTATGGTAAACATTTCTGAAAATTTCATAATGAAACATTATTTTGTACAGTGAATATATACTAATCAGTTTTCTTTTGTGGGATGTTAGCAGATATTACTTAAGACAGTGTTCTGAAGTGGAATTAGTTTGGAATGTACTGGTTATGTTCACTGTGAGACTCCTAAGAACTTTAAGTAGTATGCAGAACTTTAAATGTCTGTATTACGAGTTTCCAAGGTGTGGTGATGAATATGCAAGAAGCTTAACCTACATGGGATGAGTTTTTAGGACTTGTTTTGGAAAGTAGCCCTTTATACCAGTGGTTCCCACATCCTAGCTAATGAAGGGCAGCATTAGGTATCATTTGGCAAACTTATTAAAACAATGATTCATGGGCCACACCCTAGTGGGGGAGGGGAGAACACATCATTCAAATAAACAAACTGAAGTGATACTTATGCATACTCATGTTTGAGGATAAGAGCTATACTGATCATAACACAATAAAAAAGTATGTAATATTTGAAAGGCCAGGGCTGAGAATGTAAGTTAAACTGGAAGATGCCCCGAGGTCCCACTCCCAGCATAAACTGGCAGTGGTGCTGCACACCTGTGATCCCAGCACTTAGAAAGTGGAAGCAGGGGGACTGTGAATTTAAAGTTATCCTCAGCTATGTGTCAACCCTGTCTCAATATATATATTTAGAGATACATCAATGCCAAGCAGCAAGGAAGGTCACTGAATAGAGCCAGATAATAGCATTTGCTATGATTTGGACATGAAGTCCTCCTCAAAATGTTCCTGTTTTGGAGACCTGGGCTCCAGCATGTGGATCCAATCACTGGGAGGAAACTGGATCATAAAGGGCTCTGACATAATCAGTGGACTAACCCTTGGAGGACTGATAGCTTAGTGGCATGTACGGGAAGATGGGGCCTGGCTGTAGGATGCAGGTCACTGGGGACATGCCTTTGAAGGAAGTTTTATCCTTGGCCCCTTGATATCGGCCTCTCAGCTGTCACAACTGAACACCTCTGCTCTGCCACATGCTTCCTGCTGTGCCTCGCCATGACCTAGAACCTTGGACACAAATGGCCACGTACTAAAACTAGAATGGTTTTATGTCAGCAGTTTTGCTACTGTGATATAGGTTGATAACCAAGGTTTTACTCAAGAAAGAAAAATACATATACTCATATCTTTTATGAAAAATAATGCCAAGTGTTGAAGACTGCTACTGTAGGAATCTCCAAGAACAGACTGTTTTTATTACTAATTGGAAAGCAATGTGTAGTGATGAGCAACCCATTACTTGTTTGTTTCTTCATGCTCATCTTCTCTTACCAGAACTGATGGCCCATGGCCAATTGAACAGACCCAGTGGTGCCATCTTCCTAAGCAATTTCTCCTAGATAAAGCTCTTGAACTTTCCTTCAAATGATACTACTTCACAGCAGGAGGATGAGTGCTTCCTTGAGTGAAAATTCTAGAATGCATATTTGCTTATTCCTCAGTGCTCTCAAAACTGTACCTGGTCAATAAATTATTTCAGGGCTCAAACAAAGAACCCAGTATGGTTATTGGTAACTTCACATTTGTGCCATATTTTTAAATTTATTGATAGGAATGACCTTGAACTTCTGATCCTTTCTTAACTTCCTGAGTAATGGGATCATATGTTTACATCATTCATATTCAGTTTATATGGTCTGTGGATGGAACCCAGAGACATATGCATGCTAACCAAGCAGTCTCCCAACAAACATGCAACCCCAGGCCTGTACCATGTTCTTCGTTTGTAGGCTATTTCACGTGAATGATACTATGTCTGTAGTCACAAAGGCGTTTAGGGTTAAAAAGGCATAATCCTGGGCTAGAGATATGGCTCAGAGGTTAAGAGCATTGGCTGCTCTTCTAGAGGTCATGAGTTCAATTCCCAGCAACCACATGATGGTTCACAACCATCTATAATGACATCTAGTGGCCTCTTCTGGTGTGCAGGCATACATGCATGTATAACATTGTATACATAATACTGTGTGCATAATTTTAAAAAGGCATAATCACTTACATATGACCAATAATTTTCAAGTACTAACATAGTGAAAAGAAAAAGCAAAGAATATGTCAAGGCTCCTACATTCAAAGTAAACAATTATCTACTTGGAAAAGCTAAACACATACATAACTAGAGCAAATGTTTGATGTCAAGACTTTCTATCTACTAACACAACTAACAGCCTCTGAGTAATCTCATCACACTTAACCTTGCTACTACTATTAGGCCCATGTCTCATGTGCAGAGAAACTACACAATCTGACCAAGTCAGCTGTGAACTAGGAGTCAGACTTCAGGCTGTTCTCACCTGGAGCTATCACCAGCATGTCTTCCTACTGCCTGAGTCTGGGATGGTACCCCTCCCCCAGGTATGTTACCTCTTTGATTCGCTTGACGAGAGCGTTCTGATCAAAGGCGACTGCTTCTGCACACTGGTGCAGGTGATCTTGGTACCGTAGGCAAAGCTGCAACACCTGCTGAGAGTCCAGCTTCTCCAGTTTGGCATTTGTCGGGGATGTCTGTCCACTCAGGAGCCCTTCAAAGGAGAGAGGGAAACGAAATGAGAATCACTGCTGATAACCTAGCTGCAGCTCACAGAGGCAGGGAAAGGAACACTTAAGTTTTGCACCTTTTGCTCTATGCCAAGTGAAAATCATTGCATCTACCTTTTATGGTGCACAACCACTCACCCGCTACTTTTTCCACGTGCTTCCTGTGCATGGCTGTCTTAGCCCTATTTTCTACATAAGGGAGCCAGGACACAGAGACGCTGAGTAACTTTCTGACCATCACGAAATGAGCAGTGGCTTCCCTCAGTGCTCCTGGCCTATTACACCACTCCAAAGTATTAGGAAGACATATCTCTTCTTGGTTGAAAGGAATGGAAGATGCATTTACTTAATTTTAATTCCTATTGGTTACTAATATGGTTATCTGAGAAACTGAGAAAAATGTATAAGGAAATGATAAGAATTTGATACCAAAACTAAACAAAAGCCAGACTACCAGCTAACAGGCCTGAAACCCTATGTCTTTTTCTAACATTGGTTGGCATAGCTGTAGAACGTCAGTAAGTGCAGGGGATTATGTTTTCAACACCTTTATATTGAACCACTATGCTTTCCTACAGGGGCATAGGTCAGGGTAAAATTACAGAGGCTACACTTGCCTATGGTCAGAAGGCAAAGTACTGACTAGAACTTAAGCCCATGGACTTTTGGTTGCCAAAGCAACAGTTGTGCAAGTGTGGTATCAAGAAAGTCCCTCCTATATAATCTCAAGAATGACTGACATTGTATCTACTGTTATTAACCTATTAAAAGTTAAGACTGATAAAATTCTTTAGTGTTAAATAACTGCATGCTTCTCATAAAAATTCAAAATAATAGTAACACTTCACAAATTAACATATAAACTATTTTGAGGAAAATATTTCTAGTTTCCAAAACAAAAAGTCAGAAGGGTGACAGTAGTTTATATTTTCATAAGTCTTTTTAGTGTTTTGCTTAATAGAAAATGATGCACCCTCTTATTTCCTCTACATGTACATTGCCATTTCTCCTCACAGAGTCTCTGGGAAACTGTACCACACCCTTCTAAGATTGACACTGCTATGCAAATTATGTTCAAGTATTATCACAAAAATAGCTTGACCTCAAGGCCTCCCTTGTAGGGTTTTGGGGATCCTGTGACACCTGCCCTTCATCTGGCAAATCTGAGAATCATTCATTAGGCCATACTGTGTTGTCCTTATACTAGACACAAGGAGTATCAAGTCATCTATGGCACTGGGCACGTGCGGGGCCTCCCATGCCACCGCTCATCCTGACCCCTTCCACTGTCACCCTCTTGCTGTTCTCATACATGGAAACTCAACCAAAGTTCTTCCCCAGCAGGATGGCATGCGGTGGGCCATCCAGCTGTGCTGTGTACAGGATGACATGCAGTGCGCCATCCAGCTGTGCTGTGTCAAGAATCCTCAGGTGTGGACACAGTGCTCACATCTTCATGGGACTCAGCACTTGCGAGGTGGAAGCATGAGGCTCAGAAGTTCAAGTTCATCCTCAACTATATAATGAATCCAAGGCCAACCTGAGATACACCAGATGGTGTCAAACAAAATAAAGAATGAACTATAAGCCAGTGTAGAATTTATGCTTTAATAATTTTTAAGTGGGATTTTTCTTTTTACCCTTTATTGCACAATTTTCAAATTACAGAAAACCAGGAAATAAAAGAATACCCAAATACATCTAGGTTCTACCAGTCACATTTTATAATATCCAGGCCTTTTTGAAGCTATTAAAAAAAAGTACGCATTAGTTGGGCAGTGGTGGTGTACACCTTTAATCCTAGCATTCAGAAGCAGAGGCAGATGGATCTTTGAGTTTGAGGCCAGCCTGGTCTACAGAGTAAGTATCAGGACATCCAGGGCTACACAACAAAACCCTGTCTCAAAAAAACCAAAAAGAAAAAAAAAAGCAGACATCATGGCACCTCACTCCAAAAAAGACATCTGTCCACTTAATTATGTTTGATCAATTTTCATGCTAAATAAAGTCTCTAAGTAGGAACAGGGCCATTACCTTTAGTTTTCTAGTTGTCTTTAGCTTGTAAGAGAGAGTCACACAAAGTAGATGTTTACTAAACTAAAACCTGGTCTAATGGACTCCATTTATTACGTGGCAGGTTTGCAAATGGTGAACACTGGACATATTTCTTAAGAACATGTTGAAACCATTCTTTTTATACAAAAATGAGGAGTGGGCTCCAGGGACTAAGTGAGGTAAGGATCCAAACAGATGTTAAGAGAGCCAACAAATTGCCAACTATACCCACCTCTTTATGTAAAGTGCCAAGTGGGAAAATCTTGGGGGTTAGAAATTTGGTGCCCATTTTTCTAAGTTCTTGTGTTAAACATCATAAGGGTTAAAACATAAAGCACAGTACAGAGCCATATGCTTATTAAATTAGGCTACTGCCAAACTGAATTTCTCAACCCTGACAGCTTAGTTGTAAAATTAGAAATTAACAGTATGATGTTGGACACATTTTTTTTAAATGACAGAATCTAGAAAGTAGACTCTATGACTCTGGCAAAAGTTACTAGGAAGGTATAATTAAGCAACATGATATAAAAAAAAAGAAAACGAAATCCCTTTGTGTGAGCTAAAAGCTAGTGTCCTCCCCAAATTGCCATTTGAAATCCCACAGATACTCGTTTCCACCTCCCAGTATTAGGATTATAGGTGTGCATCAAGTCTGGCTGTGTGTGTGTGTGTGTGTGTGTGTGTGTAGAGAGAGAGAGAGAGAGAGAGAGAGAGAGAGAGAGAGAGAGAGAGAGAGAGAGAGAGAGAGAGGTCAGAGGACAACCTCTTTTATATAAACCTTTAAATTTTTCTTTAGCTTTTTAATGTTTTTATTATTTTTTGAGAATTTCATACATGCATGAAATGAATTTTGATCTTCACTGCTCTCAGATCCTCTTCTCATGCCCCTCCTAACTTCTCGTCCTGTTTTAAAAGTAACCCATTGAGTCCAATTAGTTCTGCTTATGTACCAGTGTTGAGGGGGATCGTGCACTGGAACCTGGTCAATCTACCAGGAACCACACCCTAATGAAAACCGACTCTTCCTCCTCTAGTAGCCATCAACGGCCAATAGCTCTGGAGGACAATTTTTGGGAGTCTTGTCACCCAACACTGTATGGGTCCTGGGAACCACATAGCTCTGCAGCAACACTGTATGGATCCTGGGAGATCAAACTCAAGCTGTACATAGCTCTGCAGCAAGCACCTTTATTTGCTGAATCATCTTGCCAATGCCAGGCCAGGCTTTTTCTGTAAATCTAGGAGTTTGACTCAGATCCCCCATGCTTGTGCAGCAAGCACTTTACCTAGGAGTCAATTCCCCAGCCCAGGCTCTTGCCTTTCTAACCAAGGATGTTTTCTTATGTTCATTTAGTTTGCGTGCGTGCGTGCGTGCGTGCGTGCGTGCGTGCGTGCGTGTGTGTGTGTGTGTATGTAAGTAGACTAAGTGCTTTACCCTTCTCTGCCAGCTCATCAATCCTACTCCTCCCTTTCTAAGGACAGACTGGTAGGACTGGTGGGGCTGGGGAGGTGGCTCAGCTGATCCGGGGCTTGTCTAGTGTGCACAAAGCCCACGTTCATGCATAGACTGGGTGTAGTGGGCATGACTACAATTCCAGCATCATTTGGCAGGTAAAAGCAAGAAGATCAGGAGTTCAAAGTCATCCCTCTCTACACAGCAATTTGCAGTCTGGGCTATATGAAATCCTATCAGAAAAAAAAATCAATAATTTTGAAGAGGCACTCAGTCCTCAAGAGGAATCTGTGGCAGAACATGAGAAGCTCTTCCTCCAGACAAGTTTAAGTGCTTATTTGGAGATGGCATATGGACCAAAGAAACAAGAACAGAGGATGTTACAACCAAAGTACATACAGCTTTTCCACAGGTGAGCAGTCATCAAGAAATCTCCCCTCCAGTTAAGAACTTAGCATTTCACAATCTCCCTTTTCATCCAAATAATAAGTCAAATATTCAAGTTCTCTCACCTCTACAACACTCTCCAGGCTCACAGGCTTGTTCTCTGTTTGAACTCATCTGGTAGGAAACAGAGTCACTGGCAAAGGTCTGAGCTCTGGGTCAGGGAGACTTGGGATGATCCAGAGATTGTCACTGAGTGCTGTGCAATGGTGGAGAAGTCATCATACTACTCCACACGCCAGCTCTTCATGACCTGGACCTTAAGAGTAACTGTAAGAGTTTCATGACGCGCCACACCTGGCACAAGTTACATTCTCAACTTACAGATACTTACTCTCTGTCCCCAAGTCTCCAGCTCCCAATTACTACAGGAGTCAAATAAGCAGGGGCACAAAATCTGTCTGTAAGGCTGTAATAGCTTATCATACTATGTGTGTGTGTGTTTTTCTAGTACATATCACTATGTACTAGCCTTTTAGGAAATACCAAAGACACAAACCCACCACTCAAGGTGACCACCAGAAGATTAAATACAAGAAGTTTAAGAAAAGAAAAGAAAAAAATGCCCGACAGCAGTGGTGATACACACCTTTAATCCCAGCACTTGGGAGGCAGAGGCAGATGGATCTCTGAGTTTGAGGCCAGCCTGGTCTCCAGATTGAGTTCCAGGACAGCCAGGGCTACACAGAGAAACCCTGTCTCAAAAAAAAACCAAACAAACAAAAAAACAAATGAACAAAAAATAAATCAAAAAAAGGAGCTAAAATAAAAGCTCTTAAAGAGGCATTTCTCAAAAAGTTTTTAAAATGGCCAGTCAATAATACATAAAAGCTATAGTACATAAACATGCCAGACATAACTTCTAATCAGGGAAATGCAAAACCAAACCAAAAGACGGACAAGGTAGCACACATTTCTAAGAGGATTGCAGTAAGTTTAAGGCCAGCTTGGACTACATAGGGAGTTCCAGGCAAGCCAGGGTTAAACAGTAAGGTACATCATTTCAGACAACAAAACAAACAAAGCAACCACGATGAGGTAATAATCCTCAGGTTGGCTATTGTTTCAATAACAGAAAAAAAAAGATGTTAGGGGAGGGTTTGAAGTAGGTAGAACCTGCCTACATTTCTTCTTTTTAATCAGAGAGGTAAACAGGGACAGGCAGGGAGAGAGAGAGAAAGAGAGAGAGAGAGAGAGAGAGAGAGAGTATTACAGAGAGACACACACAGAGAAGTATTACTTCCAGTAGTAGATTTGCTCAGTAACTTGAAGTTAATTTCAGTCAAATTTATTTTTCAGTGTGGTATCAAACTCCCCAGCTCCATGCACAAAGCTACACATGTTTCAAGTAAAGGATTGAACTTAACTTGATCAAAGAGGGTGGACAAAATGATCCTCCTGTAAATATCAGGGATCTGTGAACAGATCTCTAAAGACTACTTTGGATGACAAAGGAGCAGAGAGGTGTCAGTCAATACCCTGAAGAACATCCAAGCACCCTGCCCTGAGTGGCTAGGGCTACAAAGGTCCTTGGAAGCAGGAATATGGCCCCATCGGCTGATCCTTACACCAGGAAATTGAGTGGCTCATAAGCTGATGTGCCGTCAGCAAGGCAGCCCACCTAAGCAGGTAGATCCGTGGCTCAGACACATCACCAGGAAATGTCTTTTCTTTGAAAGTCTCCATATAGATGGGCACGGTGATGTGCATGTCTGTAATCCCTGCACTTGGGAGGTGGGGGAAAAAGGATCAGGAGATCAGGGCCAGGACTGCATGATATCCTGTTAGAAAAAAAGGCAGAAATAAAAAGAAAGTATGGGTAACTGGATGACCAAAACAGCGAAACAGGGGCACGAGAGCAAAAAAAAAAAAAAAAAGTAGTATGATACCTCCAAAAATAAGAACTTCAAAGGAAAAAGACTAACAAGTGGCCTGAATTATAATAAATAATAATGATTACAAACATACAGGCCAGACATGAAATCAGAAACAAAGGAGTAACCCCATTTTTCAGCCCCTCTAGCAGCGTCCTGGAGTTTCAACCAGAACAGGGAAGTAGGAAAAGTAAGAAGAGGCGTTCAGTCCGGAAGGCAGAGTGGCTCTGACCACACAGATGACTTTATATGTAGAGATCCCTAAACACTGGTCAAAAACACGGTTGGAAATAGAAACAAAACTTAGTAAAGTAAGACGATACAAAGTCAACTCAAAAGTCAGCTGCATTTCCATGAACTAATAATGCAAAACCCAGAGGTCAAGGAAGCAGGTTCAACGACAGTCACCTCAAAAGCCTAGAGTACTTAGGAGTTAACTCTCAGAAGGAAGCAAAAGACTTGTCTAAAGAGCATAAGACACCGGTTAAAGAGAGGGTTGAAGGAGAGAGCTCGTTCCTGAGGTCTGGCCTCAAAACACTCTCAGAAATGAACCTCCAAACATTTCATTAGTTGAAGCAAGCCAGAAAAGAACAAATACTATCTAATTCCATTTTCATGAAATCTACAGAATAGTGAAAGTCGCAGAGAAAGGAAAGACATTAGCTGTTGCCACAGCTGGGGTAGAGGGCTTTGGAGGTTAATGGCTTCAGAATTCAGTTTGAGATTGTGGGAAAGTGGAGGCTGACAATGACAATGGG